TTCCAGAAGGGCTCTATAGCCAAGGAAACCAATAACATTTTGCTGGACTAAGTTTGTTTGTTTTGAGCTGGGCTGACTCAAACAGTAAACTTCACAACTTTGTTTTTTCTTAATTGCGTTGCTCATGTTTTGCCAAATGTTCTTGCTGATAATCAAAGCAATAATCTCTCCGGAATCTGCCAGGGCCATTTTCCGCTGCAAATCTGTAGATGCTCAACCATATTATATATTTGAGCATAAGAGAAAAAATCTGGAGCTGAAATCCTCATCTATCAGGAGCAGGTGCCACTTATCTCAAACATTCTGCCCCCACACCCCAGCCCTGCGTGGCTGGGGCCCACAATGAGGTGACGGCTGCAGATGAGGCCAATGGCAGCTGCCCTCAAAGGACGGAAATGGGGGGATTGACCATCTTATTTCTAAAAAGAGATTGAAACACTCTGGGCTGTAATTAGATATTTTCTTTTTTTTAGTGGTTTTTTTGTTTTTTTTTTTCGGGTTTTTTTTTTTTTGTGTGTAAAGGGAAAAGGCTGGGAGAGGTCTTGTTAGTTTGCTTTTAGTTTTGTAATATATATTGTTTCGGTATAACTTCTTCAAGCCGTAAAGATGTGATCATTAGCTGGGAACTCTCAGCTATAAAGGGAAAATTGCAACAGGACAAAAATAGAGTTTGGTTCCAAGAAACATTCTAAGATTTCATATTATTTCACCCTGAATTTAGTGTTAAAATTTTAAACATTGAAATTGTTCTCCAAGGGAGAGGCTCCAACTCACTGTGAGTCACAAATTGATCCCTATAATGTTCTGATGTTCTGAAACACTTTTTTGAAAAATGAATTGATGTCTCTGAAACTCATTGCTTCAGTTTGGTTTATTGGACAAAGAGGTACACCTTGGTTTCCAAACCACATCAGCTGTAACATTCCCAGAATCCTATTGATCCATTCAAGCTTCTTAGCTTAAAAAAATCTGGTTTTAACATGTGGATCAGACTTTTAAGGCACAGTTTGTTTCCTGCAATGTATTATCAGATTTATCAAAGGGAGATTGTAAACATTTAATTTAAATATGAATGTTTTGTGTCAAGCCAACAAACTAGTAATGCCAAAACTCAAGAAAGTCTGAGTTGGACAGACCTGAAGCAAAATTCTGAGCTTTGGCTTTCCCAATGAAAGGCATTTTTTTCCCTCTAACATTGAAATTTACTTATGGAAAAGTGAACAGTACATGAACAATAATGGTTCTTGAGCTTTCATGTGTATGAACTACCCAGGCACTGGATTTACTGTATAAGACTGGTTATAGCCTCCTGAAAATTGGGAGGAAATAATATATATATATAGATCAGGTCTTGTTATACTTTTTCTAATTATATGTTAAATCACATTAGAGACAAAAAAGCCATGTGTGCCCTTATAAGAATACAAGGGAAAAGAAACAAGACTTTCTCATTATTTTGAAATGAGAAACTCCACCAAAAATTTTGTTGGATAATTTATCATGCTGACATTACCGTTTCTGAAATGTTTTATTTTTGTAAAAGACTTTTAAAACCAGTTTTTATCTCCCTCTTGGTAGCAAAAGACACTCTGAAACTAGTGAATGTATGTTAGAAAATGTTTACTTGAACTTTCTAAAACAAACTGTTCATCTTGGGTGTAACAGAAATGCTTTCTTTTATATTACTGTTCCCACGTCACTCCACAGCAACTGGCCAACCAAAACACCTACTTAAAAAGATGAACTATACCATTGCAAGCTCCTTGGCTACTCTACCATTGAATTTCAGTCGATAAATTTGCATTTAGCTTATAATTTGTTCAATATGCCTTACTAATTAGGCAATATTTATTTTGGCACATAAAATAGAAGGCAGCTGCTTTAAATGTCCTGCTAAGTTCTTTGTTTTGTTTTGAGAGGTTTCTTTTTTTCTTTTTTTTTTTCTTACCCTTTTCTTTTTCTTTCGTAAAAGGATCTAAGATATGAAAAAGCTCCAGTGTCATGGACAGGGCTGAATTTCCTGTTTATGAGTCACCATAAATATGAAAGGTGCTGGTTGACATTTCTCAGCTGAGGGATTCGACACAAGCCTGTGTTGAGAGCAAATCCCCAAGCAGGGTGGTCTTGCATTGACTTGTCGACCTTGTACATTGTTGAACGGAATCACTTTTAAAGAACAGTAGTTAAAGGAAAAGTCAGCTCCTCTAGCTCTCCTTACTGTTACTCTATTTAGAAAAGTGTGTTGTATCTTTCCTATGTAGAAGTGATTGTTGAATCATGACTTTTAAAGAGAGAGAAATTAGCAGCATATACTTGGGTTTATTCTTGCAAAGAAATTAATTTCCCTCATTTCCTAGTGTTTTTACATTCCTTCTCAAAACTCAAGTAGCCAAAATATTGTGTAACTGTTGCTAGTGGGCAACCAAAGTAAACACAAGTAAAATTTTTTGTGTATTTTGTGGACACACCTGCCTGGTGTGTCTCTCAGCCCCACAAGTGCTTTCATTACAGGGATTTCTTAAGCCTACTAATTGCAGGTGCAGAAGGGGAATGTAGAAGTGGTTAATGTCTGCTGAAAACACTGAGCTAGATAGAGGAGGTGTTGTAAAGAGCGTGCATGGAGGTTTGTGCTAGGATGTGACTGAGTCATAAATCAAGTGTAAGTAAAGGAATGTGTGCTGGTAAGAGTGTCACTCAAACTGCTTGCTCTCCACGCTGTGCAAGATCCTAATTGCTTGAGTGCAAGCAAGTTTTCCACCTAAGCTCCAGCATTTTTGGGTTTAGATTTAAATAACCTTGGGGCCATTCCCTTTGTAGCAGCATGATGCTGTAATATATCAGTAATTAAATCAGCAGCGGGTATAAAACATACAAGAATATAAAGGGAAGACACACTGTGAGATACCCAAGCTCTGAGCAACACTTCCTTAACATACATGAGCAAGGGAATGTTTCATGTCAGTGGCCACAGGTGTAAGAAAAGGATACTTACAGGACTTTTGTATTTTTTAATTTTATTCTACAAGAAAAAAAGCCAAGCATGTATTTTTGGTCTTATTTTTTCCCCAATAAGAATGAAGATTAGAGTCTAGAAAATTAAAAAGGAGGAATAGGGAGGAAGAGATTGAACCAAATATCTGTGTAAAAGAAGATGACACAGGAGATAAACTGACAGGAGTATTAGCCAAGCTAGCTTGGGGTAAAGATTGGCAACAACTAGCAGCAGTCAGAGTTAACTTTTTCAGTTTCAGAAAACAAAATGTATTGTCTTCTTTAAAATTTGATGGAATTTTAAAGATACTTTAAATAAATTATGTATTTATTAAATTTCAACTACATATTCAAAACAAAATTTAAATTGTAGACTATCAATATTCAAATTAATACATAAAATTAATTATTAATATTATATATGTATTGCAATGTATACTATTTTAATTAATATAAGTGTATTGATATTTTATATTTTGATTAACATTTAAAATATAAATATTACTGTCTGTTAAAGTGCAAGTTTATGCATTTAACTATCAGTAGCTTTGTAATATCTCCCTTTTATTTTCCCTTTCTTCTTTTTCTTCCTAGACTTAGTCAGCTAGCATATGCAGGTGATATTCCAAAGAACCAAGGCTTTACTTCCCATTTAGCCAGCATATGGCTGAATAAGTCAAGCACCAACAAGCTTGGTCCTGATCTTACATTTCTTACTTACACTTGTCCATTAGAGAAACATGGTAAATTTACATTGCTGAGCAAGAAATGGAAAAAAACTACCTAAAACCACTTTCAATGTTCATTTTACATGGATTAAAACCATAGAAATATCATGACACTACATTACCGCAGTCATAATTCCATTCTACTGGGTGATACACAAACTCTCATCCAAATATTCTACATCTACCATCATGTAACACAGAACATTTTCTTGACAGTAAAATTATCTTTCTGGATAAATGTTCATGGAGTTGGGACACATGATTTTAGTGTTTTCTGGAGTGAGAGGGAGGAAAGAAAGTTCCTTACTTCACTCCTATTTATTTTTCCTGTTGTTCCCTGATAAGTAACTTCTCCTGTTCACTGTTATATATTTTTTATGTTACCCTAAATAAAAAATATTTTTAAAATACTAAGTCCAGAATTCAACAACATCTAGGATTCTTTCCTCCTCTCATGTGATTGAAAACAAGTACTGAGCAAAATGATGCCAGGATTAAATAGCCTGACTGCCAACATCTGCCCATGTCAAGACAAAACATCCCAGGATACTTTCATATTTTGAAAGAGGTAATCTGTTTTTCTTTCCCAGCTTTGGCCCAAGTCTTTCTTTGATTTATAAGGCCTGAGTAAGTGTGTAATAGTTTTACACATATTCCTGCAATACATTCACAGCACAGGAGAAAACATGTTATTCAAACCAACAAAAAGTATCCAAAAGAGCATAGTTGGCCTCACTCCATTTTGGGGATCTCATGCTATCCACATTCTTATTCTCCACCATGAGATGCAGTATACATAATATAATACATAAGAGGAAAAAGCTGAAATGCAATTTATGTGGAAGGTTTATGTAGGCACATTAAAAGGAAAAAAAATTCCCATCCTATTTATTCTGTCTTTCATATATTTTCTGACTATGTTCCTGTAGGTAAAGGTAAGGGAAATTTTAAAGGGAAATCATAATTAAATATTGCTGCTCATAACCTTAATATAATAGTCTTCAGTTTCAAATGTCTGTTATCTAGGATAACACATTTTGCTCACCAGTCATTTTAGTCCTTAAAATGAAACACTATATTAAATAATTCCAGGTAAGAGAAGAGTCAAATTCCAGTCTATTCTAAAATATCCTGTCAATAAAACTAATTCCATATAATTTATTTTCATTCCATGTTTTACTGGTCAACTTGTGGCTCCTGTGAAATAAAAACAAAACTTCCCACAACAGTGGAATGTTTCCTGGCTTTAAGAGATTAGTTCAAGTTTTCTACAATGCTTACCAGCTGCTGAATACAATGTAGATCAGATCCTGCAAATATTTCAGGGAAATTACTCGGAGTAGTTTCTGATAGCACAACCCTAAAGAAACAGAAAATACATTTCTTTTGATGGTCTGACAATGACAACATGTAGCTCTGGATCCCTGCATGCTCTATTGATCTGACCCATAAAAGGCCCATGGTTCCATCTCTTGTTTGTATTCTTCATTTTATTATCATTCTCTCTCTAAGGTCAGCGGTGCTGGTCTCCCAGAGACCATTAGCATGCTTTTGCTTATTTAATTCACTAACTGCTGAAGTGCATGCTGCTTTTAGTGGCACTCAGACAACTCCAAGCACTGAACGGTTTGGTTTCATGTACTTGAACTCAAGTGACACAAATATTTCAGTGGTGAATCAATACTGGGAAAGGATGGTCAGTAAGGTAGGGAGTGTTTATAGAAGATGTTTCATCACTACTAGTAAAACATGTCTTATTGTTAGTTCAGGAGGTGCTGGTATTTAGCTCTTTGAAGGAGGCTTCTGACAAGCCAACAACTCTCAGCCTGCTAGTAAAACAAAATTTTAAAAATTGCACAAGCTTAGAAATGCAGCTTTTTGCAAAATGTCTTCCGATTAACTGTTTGGGAATTCTGATTTCGTAAAAAAAGACAACTTCTGCACCTTTCCCATGAGCAACACTAACTATATGTTAATGTTGAACATAACTATATGGAAATGTTGAACATAAAGTACATTTTTTGATTTCATTTGACCCGATTAATAAAAGAATATTTACTCTTTCCCTACAAAAGCCACATTGTAACATTTTCACAAATGTTCCAGGAGCACCTGGAAGTTGATGGTTGTCTCACAGGACAATCCTAGTTGGAACAGGAACAGCATTCCTGTTATCTGCTCCAAAACCAGGCTTCTACTGCTACATTCATAATGAAACACCAGTAGCTGTTAAGGCAATTCTGATTCAGAAATAGCATTTGAGGGAATTTGTTCAGCTCTACAATAGCCATTTCCCTGCCATATAAAGAAATCCATATAAATTCATACCAAAGACAGCTATCTGTTCTTTGCAGAACTTCTTCAACTTAAAGTGACCTTTTCTACCTATTGAGAGAACATGGACAAAAAAGGGGAAGCAATACTATAAAATATTTTTGTACTTTAAAATTATACCTGAATTGAATAAATTAGACTGAAAAGCTATGTTTTATTTTCTATTAACACCACAAGGGACTGAAGCCCTTGAAGCACACTTGTGGCCAATCTTGGGTAATATAGCTGGCAGAGGGACCAAAAGAAGATTACAGTTATAAAAACACAAGGAGGCCTTTGCCAAGAAATGCAAACAAAAAGGAAATATTTTAAGAAAATAAACAAAGCTACTGAGTAAAACATACACAGGGAGGAAAAAGGGAACAAAAGAACATTTGAGTCTTGATGTCTTAACATTTTGTAGCAACATATGCGATAGTCCAGCCAGAGTGTGTGAAAGAACGTTACAGCTGTGTAAGCTATGAGATATCCACACACGCCTTGAGATCAGCAAGCCTTCAGGAAAGCCCACCTAGTCTGCCAGCTTTGCAGGTCTTCTCTGATTCTACTAAAAATAATAAGTTCCATCCAGTCCCATCCCTGTGACTGCAAAAGCTACACAGCAAGTCAAGGGGCTGTTTGCAAAGGCAGCTTTAAATAGAAACCCCTACTCTTTTTCCAAGGTGCAATAGTTTATAGCAATTTCCTGAGGCTATAAATTATATATTTTAAAAGAAGACAATCTTCTTCTGTTCCACCTAGACTATGTTATTCTGCTGTTATTGGGGCTATCTGATACAGATTAGCAAGTGGCTATTGGAGGCAGAGGGCTATCACAAATATTTGGTCATTGTACAGCAGGCCATGGCAGGTGAATGGTGTTATATAGTGCATTAAGGGAAGGAAGAAATCAGCAGAAATTATGGCCCCCCCCCAAAAAAATTAAATACACTAGAGAATCCTCACTTGTCAAATTCTCCATTCTTCTCCACGGCCTTCCAGACAACATCTGAATCATCAGAAGCTGCTCTGGAGCCCAGTCACAGGTTGAACATGCTGCCTGGGCACTGCTTTGTGCTGTGGCTTCTGTTTAGAGCAAGCCTTTTGCTCCCTTCTCCCAGATTCACTCCACCTCGGACCCTGTGGACACAACAGTCTCCAGCTCACAGTCTCAGTCTTGACTGGTGTAGGCTGGACCTCATCTGCCCAAGGGACTAAATAGACACCACATTATTGTAGTGCACCTCAAAGTTTGCACTTTCTGTCCAGAAACCCATGAAAAAACCACCTGGCTTTAAAGATAAATTAATCCAATTGAAGATCCAGGGTCAGTACCTTAATCTTTCATTTCTCCAGGCTATAAAGCATAGGACATCGAGCCAGGGTGGAAGAATGAATGAAAACAGACTGGAATTAAAGACAAAATATTTCTATAGCTGCTGTTTGCTTTAAAAATATGTGTATAAGGAATAACACAGAAGCTTTATTTTATTGTTTTTCAAGAAGGTTTGGATTTTTTATTTTATTTTGTCATTTTTGCAGCAATTTATTAAAAGATTCCATTGCATTGTATACTATTTTACTATTTCAGCTGGACTTTTTTTTTTTTTTTTTTTAAATAAAATAACTCATATATGTTCTTTTAGTTCTTACCTGCTTTGGACTTTAGAATTCTGTAAAATGATCTGCTCTCACTATCCAGGACAGGGTGTCTTAAAGCTCTGATGTAGCAGAGGTCCTCCAGAGTTATCAAAAAAATGTGCTGAGGAAGTGCATTGTCTAAATCTTTGTAGCATGGCCAAAAAAAAGGAGATAGAGAGAAGAAAAAAAAAATTTTATATTTGTATCCTATCCTTTATTCTTGCAGTCATTCTGAGCAATAAATGAAAATTTGTGACATAACAGTAGGAGAAAATTGATGTCTAGAGAGACACTGCTTATATCAGAATAGATCAGTACTAGTGTGGTTTTAAGTTTATGTGAAAATATTCTTAATATTGCTGCAATCAACCCTGGCAGACAGCTGGAAGAACTGAAAGGTATAAAAAATCTGGGACTAGAAAGAGCTATTTCTCAGTCATACATTTTCTATATGACAGTCAATGACATTTTTGGCTATGTCAATTTAGTTGATTTGTTTTCCACAAAAACATTCATTTAGACTAAATTTGTAATAAATTCACTATTATGCAGTTGGAGTATGCAATATTTCTTCACTGCCAGAGAATGGAAGACTAAGGCTGGATTTTCTGTTTTACTAAAGACTTCCCACTGAGGAATTGTTTTGCTCATGTTTGTTTTTTTCCTGCAAATGGAGAGTAAGAATCACCCTCTGCCTCACAAGGAGGACAAAAATTACTAAACCACTAAACTTAGATGACAATGAGAAGTATAAAAATTCATATTTCAGTTTAATTACTTATCATTTGTCATTCATTTGAATGTATGATATTTTTATACTTATGCAAGAGTAAAATTCAGCTGCCTAAGGGCAAACAAGTAGAATTTAAGATCTGCAAGGTTGTTTTATGTACGCAGGCTGGCAGATACCACGTGGAACTGATGGAGTATTTGAATGGCAGACTTGGAGGTTGTCATAGGGCATTTCAAATGGTGTGGGGTGCAATCCCACCCTCCCCAAGCAATAAGAGACCCTGAAGCCCCTGACTCATCTACAAACTCTTACACGGTGGCACCTCAGCCTCAGACTGGATCTTGCCCTGGGTAACTTTGTGAGCCCTCTGAAAACCCCTCCTGATACTGACAACAGGGTCCTGGTGGTTCAGCATATGAAGGTCTGGAGTTTTGAAACTTTACCCTACAGGAGAAAAGATGACCAAGTCTGTCCACATAGATACGTACAAAATTTACCCAAACTGACCTTGCCCTGAAGTTGGGGCTGTCATAGATAAGTAGGCAGAATGTTGGAAAAGAGGTTCAATTAATGTGAGAGGTGTTCATTCACATGTTCATATATTTTACAGCCAAGAGGAATGCTTATCAGCCTCTACCATAGTGACTTCAGATTATTTGTTCCTGTTGATATTTGCAGCTACAGCAAACGTACAGAAGGTAGCAGGATTATTTCAAATTTTATTATCAGCCAAGGATAATTATTTCAGCTGTGACCCTACTTAAGACTTGCTGAGGTATTTTCATTTAGCATTGTGCATAACATAGACCCAAAAACTCAGTTCTCTTCCAGTTCATAATTTCTATTTTAGGCACAGAATATTTTTTGTACAGGCTATTCTCAACTTACCAAATTTCTGAAAGGTAAGAAATCATACTTTTATTTAAAGTATACCAGCTTAATGATTTCCATTGTCAAAAATGTCTGTTAACTTTTTACTGTAAACTTGAGTTCATTATAAAAAATATTTGATAAGTTGTTCCTAATTAAAAATCAGATTCTTTGGAAATACTTCATAGTCATAGCCTTCACTCCAATTTAATTGTTTCAGCTTCTTCAGTGTCATTAAAAAGCATGCTTTCCAAACTTTGAATGCTTTTAATCCTATTTTTATAGACTTTTTCCAGCTGACATCTCCTTAAGATCCTGGCAATAGGAACTTGATTTATTTGGTTTTTACTCCCATAAAAGTTTTACTGATCACACCTGGCCTTAAGCTGCAATTCCAGAAGAAAAGTAGTTTCCTTTAGATCTGGAGCTACATTTGCTACTCCTGCATGAACATCTCAGATATACCAAGTATTCATGGCTCAAAAGACATGAGGTTCCTCTTTCTAGGGAATGGACCCAAGCTCAAGAAATATTGAGAATGTTGCAAGTATTGCCTGCAGAATTAGCATAATGTGCCCCACCTGTGTTATGTGTGTCACACATGTGAAAACAGCCTTTGTTTCCAGGCTACAGCTCAGCGAGGGCTTGACCAGCACCTGTAATGACCAAAAGGCTGTGCTCCAGTAAGTGCCTTCTGAAACAGACTCACATTTTCTAGAGCTGGGATTCTCCTCCTGTTGTCTCAATAGCTCAGCTACAGTAGGAAAATGATCTTTGATCAAAGTCTTAGGTCTGGAAG